GCATGGTGCTGTGTGTGCAGCTCTGGCTCACAGTTGTGTAAGTGTGTGACCCAGGAGCGTGTGTCTACATGAAGCACTGTGTGTTCGCATGCGTGTAGCACAGGCAGTGGGGTGTGTTTGTGTGGCAGCATGCGTGTGTGTACCTGGTGCAGTGTGCACATGGATGCATGTGTACATGTGGCAGAGTGTGTGTTCACCAGTGTATGTGCACGCTGGTGTGAGCACAGACATGCAGTGTTCTGTGTGTGCCTGTGTTTTCACAGTGATGCGTGTGTGCATATGGGGGGTGTGTGTGTGTACATGCAGCGCTGCCCATGGGCATCCCCACGGTGATACATGAGCACAGAGTGTGTGCACGCGTGGTGCTCCCCGTGCCCACACCCATCCACCGGCTGTGGATGCTCATGTGTGCACACCGCATGCGCACACGTGTGTGCCCACGGTGATGGGTGTTTGTGCACCGTGTACGGCTGCGTGCATGTTACCGTCTCCACGCGTGGGGTTGGGTGGACATGCCTGCACACCCACTCTGTGTGTGTACCCCGGGGTGTGTGTGTGAGCCTGTGTGTGCCCCGGGGCTGGTGTGGGTGCCTGTGTGTGCCCCGGAGGGTGTGTGTGAGCCTGTGTGTGCCTCAAGATGGATGAAGGTGCCCGAGTGTGCCCCGGGGTGTGTGTGTGAGCCCGTGTGTGCCCCGAGACGGATGCGGGTGCCCGAGTGTGCCCCGGGGTGTGTGTGTGAGCCCGTGTGTGCCCCGAGACGGATGCGGGTGCCCGAGTGTGCCCCGGGGTGTGTGTGTGAGCCCGTGTGTGCCCCGAGACGGATGCGGGTGCCCGAGTGTGCCCCGGGGTGTGTGTGTGAGCCCGTGTGTACCCCGAGACGGATGAAGGTGCCCGTGTGCGCCCCAAGGTGTGTATGTGAGCCCGTGTGTGCCCGGGGCTGGTGCGGGTGCCCGTGTGGCGGGTCGTACCGCCCGGCCGCGCTTACATAAAGGCTGCAATGCGGGCAGGGGGGGCTCCGGGGCAGGACCCCACC